TTCTTTGGATGCTTGGAGGCTTCGCATAGTAAGTCTTCAGTATTTAAGTAACATGAATTTATGTGGTACATTCTTTCTTTTGAAGATATTCAAAACCTGTGCTTAGTTGCTCAGTCGTGTCTGACTACTTGATACCTGATGAACTGTAGCCCACAAGGCTCCTCTGTCCATGCGAATTCTCCAGGCAAGAATACTAGAGTGCGTTGCCATGCCTTCCTTCAGGGGATTTTCTCAACCCAGGGATCGAACCCAGGTCTCCTGCATTGCAGGCGGATTCTTTACCATCTGAGCCACAACGGAGTCTAGGGGTTAATAAAAAAAGAAAAAAAAAGTTCTATGAAGAAGTTTGTTACAGCTGAGCCTAGGAAGAACATATGAATATCATAGAATCTGTAATAAGACCAACTTGAGTTTCCCCCTTCTGTTTTTCTGACCTTAAGTGTATTTCTTTGTATTTATGAGTTTCTATTTCTTCATATACAAAATGAGGATAATAAATATTTTCTATGTTGCTATGAGATCTAATTGAATTAGGCTGTGTTACGTCTCTGGAATGCATTATTAATGTACTTGACCAATAGAAATTACCTAAGGCTATGATCAAGGTATCTGGGTCATTAATATCTTTTTTGCATAGTTATATGTATTCTTACCACATCCTGTTAATTTCTTCTGCTTCTGTTAGGTCCATATAATTTCTGTCCTTTATTGAACCTGTCTTTGCATGAAATGTTCCCTTGGTATCTCTAATTTTCTTGAAGAGATCTCTAGTCTTTCCCATTCTATTGTTGTCTTCTATTTCTTTGCACTGATCATTGAGGAAGGCTTTCTTATCTGCTATTCTTTGAAACTCTGCATTTACATGGGTATATCTTTCCTTTTCTCCGTTGCCTTTCTCTTCTCTTCTTTTCTCAGCTACTTGTAAAGTCTCCTCAGACAACCATTTTGCCTTTTTGCATTTCTTTTTCTTATGGATGGTCTTGATCACTTCCTCCTGTACAATGTCATGAACCTCCATCAATAGTCTTTCAGGTACTCTGTCTATCAGATGTAATCCCCTGAATCTATTTACCACTTCCACTTTAAAATCATAAGGAATTTGATTTATGTCATACCTGAATGGTCTAGTTGTTTTCCCTACTTTCTCCAATTCAAGTCTGAACTTTGCAATAAGCAGTTCATGATGTGAGCCACAGTCAGCTCCCAGTCTTGTTTTTGCTAACTGTATAGAGCTTCTCTATCTTTGACTGCAAAGAATATAATCAGTCTGATTTTGGTATTGACCATCTGGTGATGTTCATGTACACAGTGATCTCCTGTGTTGTTGGAAGAGGATGTTTTCTATGACCACTGTGTTCTCTTGGCAAAACCCTGTTAGCCTTTGCCCAGCTTCATTTGCACAAAGCCAAACTTGCCTGTTACTCCTGGTATCTCTTGACTTGCTACTTTTGCACTCCAGTCCCTATGATTAAGGGCACACCTTTTGCTGGTGTTAGTTCTAGAAGGTCTTGTAGGTCATCATAGAACCATTCAACTTCAGCTTCTTTGGCATTAGTGGTTGGGGCATAGACTTGGGTTAACACAATTGCACTAATCTCACATGCTAACAAAGTAATGCTCAACATTCTCCAAGTGAGGCTTCAAAAGTATGTGGAAAGAGAACTTCCAGATGTTCAAGTTGGGTTTAGAAAAGGCAGAGGAAGCAGAGATCAAATTGCCAATATCCACTGAATTATAGAAAATGCAAAGGAGTTCCAGAAAAACTCTAATTCTACTTTACTGATTATGCCAAAGTTTTGACTGTGTGGATCACAACAAACTGTGGAAAATTCTTAAAGAGATGGGAATACCAGACCATCTGACCTGTCTACTGAGACATCTATACGCAGGTCAAGAAGCAACAGTTAGAACTGGACGTGGAACAACAGACTTGTTCCAAATTGGGAAAGGAGTACCTAAAGGTTGTATGTCATCACCCTACTTATTTAATTTATAGGCAGAGTACATCATGCAAAATGCTGAGCTGGATGAAGCAAGAATCAAGATTTCTGGGAGAAATATCAATAACCTGAGATATGCAGATGACATCACACTTATGGCAGAAAGCAAAGAGGAGCTACAGAGCCTCTATGAATGTGAAAGAGGAGAGTGAGAAAGTTAGCTTAAAACTCAACATTCAGAAAACTAAGATCATGGCATCTGGTCCCATCACTTCGTGGCAGGCAGATTGGGAAACAATGGAAACAGTGAGAGACTTTATTTTCTGGGACTTTAAAATCACTGCAGATGGTGACGGCAGTCATGGATTTAAAAGATGCTTGCTCCTTGGAAGAAAAGCTATGACCAACCTAGACAGCATATTAAAAAACAGAGACATTAATTTGCTAACAAAGGTCTGTCTAGTCAAAGCTATTGTTTTTCCAGTAGTCATGTATGCATGTGAGTGTTGGACCGTAAAGAAGACTGAGCACCAAAGTATTAATATTTTTGAACTGTGGTGTTGGAGGAGACTGTTGAAAGTTCCCTGGACTGCAAGGAGGTCCAACCCGTCCATCCTAAAGGAAATCAGTCCTGAATATTCATTGGAAGGACTGATGCTGAAGGTGAGGCTCCAATACTGTGGCCACCTGATGTGAAGAACTGACTCATTGGAAAAGCCCCTGACGCTGTGAAAGATTGAAGACAGGAGGAGGAGGGGACAACAGAGTATGAAATAGACGGATGGCATCCCTGACTCCATGGACACGAGTTTGAGCAAGGTCCGGGAGCTGGTGATGGACAGGGAAGCCTGGTGTGCTGCAGTCCATGGGCTCATAAATAGTCAGACAGGACTGAGCAACTGAACCGAACTGACTAATGATCAAAGTATGGGCCATATACTATGTAGGAAGTGCTTCCCAACACATTTCACATTTCTGAACTCATAACATAACCATGTGTGTGTTACCTGCTGAAGTAAAAGTCAGCCAGCTGCCTCAGAGACTGAGAGCATCTGTATCTGGTCACTTTGGGACCCATTTGGGTCAGAGCAGAGTGTCATGATACACTGGTTGGGAAGAAGGGTCCAGGAACAGTATATGATAAATCTCTACTTACCTTTATGACACTCAAAACCATCCAGTTCCTTATATCCAGACTTCTTTTTATGCCTCTTTCCTTTCTTGAGTACTCTGGCACACAGCTACTAAAACAAGAAAATAATCCAGAGAAGTGGCTATAGCTGCCCTCCCCTCCCCTCTCCAGTCCAGCTCAGACTCTGCCCAAGGCATAAGTCAGGGTAGGACCTGGGGAAAAGGATGCCAGGAAGCCTGATGCTCTGGTGGGGCTGTCTGTTCACTTCCCTCCTTGGTGGTAGGCATTTTTCTGAAACTCATTAAATATGTTTGAAAAAGAGGATTGAAGTAGAAGGTTTTATTGTTTTTCTTTCCATGGACTCTCCCTTCCCCTATCCCACATGTCTACACACAGTTATTTTCTTAGGATTCTCATCACATTTTAATATTCTTTCTCTTTCTGAACCTTATGTAACTATTGACAAAACTATTTTTCTAGTGACTGTTTAAAAATACAGTATCTGGTAGAATATGTGAAGATGACAACAGCTTAGTTGATTGAGCAGATGTGATTGCAAATCTATTTTGGGGGAAATGAGAGGTAGTAGGAGAATAATGTTTGCTTTAATAGTAGAAAAAAATTCAAAAGGCAGCTTCTATTTAACAATGAAGCTCCCGTCCCTTTCTTGCCCACACTTTTTAGATTCCTGGAGATTCAATTGACTATGATTGATAAACTGGATGATCTTTCCATTGATATCTTAGTTTCATCACTCAATCAGAAATGTGATTAAAGGCCTTGCCTCCATGAATCTTTCTGCCTTCTTAAGGTTTCAAATGTAAACAGATTGCTCCAGTCTTTCTTGTGTCTGAACATTTAAGAGTCAAGCACTCTAAGGAATATTTAAAACCAGAACACCGTAGACGTTTTAAAAAACTCGCCTTGACTCTTAAGGAAAATAAGAGTGTTAATCATCTCTCTTGATTTTAACTTCCCCACTCTGAGATTTAACTAAGAATATTTTAGTCTATAGCACCTTTGACTTGCACTGTAATAAGACAAAAACAAGGTGCAAGACTTTGTTCCATTCTCAGACTATGTAACCTTTTAAATGTCGCAAGGCCTCATTCCATTCCCAAACTATATAACCTTTTAAATGTGTCATAGAATTTTTAATATTAAAAGTAAAGGAATTAAAATATTCACCCTTTTCTTTGAGGTGTATGGGGGGTAGAGGTCACTTGACAAGGGGAATTTATTATAATTTAAATATTCTTTGACTTTATGAAAAGATAACACTTGAGCATACCGTCAATGCAAATATATGGCATTTAGTTTAAGTAGGGAATTTACCTCTCTCTGGTTTTAACTTTGATCTGAGTTGATGATACTAACTAAAATTCCTCCTCTTAGATATATGTATTCCAATTGGGGATAAATGTGAATCACCCCAGATGAGTTTTCAATAGGCTGCATGGAATCAACCAACAGTTATATATTAGAAGGAATAGAAGGCTAGGCTCTGAAATCAGAAATACTAGATTTGCATGCAAACTCTTCTGGCATTGGGAAAGATCCCTTCTCTAGATTCAGTTTCTTCATCTATAAAACAGTAAGCATTAAAATTTCTACAGCTTAGGATAAATAGAAATATTAAATTAAATATATGACTAGCCTATGACAAACACAGAAAATGTTAGTCTAGCATTGTTAGTCCAGCATTTGAGAAAGTACATAGTACATGAGAAACTCAATGTAACTAAAATATAAAGAAAGTTATCTAACATTTATTGAGTACTTACTGTGAGTCAGACACTATTCTAAGCATTTTATATAATAATAATTCATTTAATTGATTAAATAAATTAACAACAATATTAATTTGTATCAGCAAAGTATTTTTACATGATAATTGTTCTTAATTTAAGGTCTCTTTGATACTCTAGGAATCCATGGATGGTTTTCAAGAAAAATACCAACTGCTTAAAATATGTAATTTTTCAACCTATGCTGTCCACATTTTCTAGAAAAGAAGGAGGTGATACAATCAGATTTTCAAAGAAGTTCTGCAAATCTCAAAGGGGTAAGAATCACTGATGCAAATTATTGCTTTGATGGCCCCTTCCAGCTGTGTGGGACAAGATTCACAAAGTTCAGAACATGGTTAACTCCTAAATGTCATTAGCTTCCTGGTTTCTGTGACTAATACCATAGAACTTGATAACTCATCTCTGAAGACTTTTCTCTCATTGTAAATGGATTAGTATTCACCCAAGAGTGACACCCCTCACATATACTTCATTGTCTATATAAAGTAGGGGCTGTTGGGAAGAAAAGCAAAGGAAATCCTTCATTTTCCTTAGCATTTGCATTAAGAACGGAAAAGTGGAAGTGCAAGTCGCTTAGTCATGTCTGACTCTTTGTGGCCCCATAGTCTATACTTTCCATGGAATTCTCCATGCCAGAATACTGAAGTAGATAGCCATTCCCTTCTCCAGGGATCTTCCCAACCCAGGGATAGAACCCAGGTCTCCCACATTGCAGGCAGATTAAGAATGGAAACTTCTAGGAAAAGCTATGACAGGTCATTTCGTTTTCCAATCTAGTTCTTCATTTTTGACCCTTGTTACAAGACCCATTTTAAGGAAGAATCTAGTGATTGCTCATACTGCTTTTTATGTCACACAGTTCTAGTTCTTGTCACATGGTAGCTGCTCAAGAATTATTATTTTTTAATTAACATTTTTTTAATTGAAGGATAATTTATTTACAGCATTGTGTTGGTTTCTGCCAAACATCAACATGAATCAGCCATAGATATACATCTGCCCCTCCCTCTTGAATGTCCCTTCCATCTCCCACCCCATCCCATCCCTTTAGCCCCAGTTTGTTACAGAGCCTCAGTTTGAATTCCCTCAGTCATGCAGCAAATTCCCACTGACTATCTATTTTACATATGGTGATATAAGTTTGCATATTTCTCTCTCCCTACATCCCATCCTCTCCTTCCTCCCCAACCCCCAGCTCAAGTCCGAAAGTCTGTTCTCTATGTATCTCCATTGTTGCCATGCAAACAATTTCATCAGTACCATCTTTCTAGATTCCATATATATGTGTTATTATGTGATATTTGTTTTTCTCTTTCTGAGTTACTTTACTCTGTATAATAGGCTCTAGGTTCATCCACCTCATTAAAACTGACTCCAAGGCTTTCCTTGTTGTGGCTGAGTAATAGTCCATTGTATATATGTACCACAGCTTCTTTATGCATTCTTCTGTTGATGGACATCTAAGTTGCTTCCATGTTCCAGCTATTGTAAATAGTGCTGAGGTGAACATTGGGATACATGTATCTTTTTCAATTTTGGTTTCCTCAGAGTACATGCCTAGTAGTGGGATTGCTGGGTCATATTGTGTCTTTAATCCTAGTTTCTTAAGGAATCTACATGCTATCTTCCATAGTGGCTGTACCAGTTTGCATTCCCACCAACAGTGCAAGAGGGTCCCCTTTTTGCCACACCCTATTCAGCATTTATTGTTTTTAGACTTTTCGACGATGACAACTCTGACTGATGTGAGCTGATATCTCACTGTAGTTTCAATTTGCGTGCTAAGTTGCTTCAGTCGGGTTTGACTCTTTGCAACCCTTTGGACTGTAACCTGCCAGGCTCCTCTGTGCATGGAATTCTCCAGGCAAGAATACTGGAGTGGTTGCCATGACCTTCTCCAGAGGATCTTCCTGATGCAGGGATCAAACCCAAGTCTCCCACATTGCAAGAATATTCTTCAAGTTTTGATTTGAATTTCTCTAATAATGAGCAATATTGAGCATCTTTTCATGTGTCTATTAACCATCTGTTTGTCTTCTTTGGGGAAATGTCTGCTTAGGTTTTCTGCCCACTTTTTGACTGGGTGTTTGTTGTTCTTGTATTGACTTGTATGATCTCCTTATATGCTTTGGAAATTAATCCTTTGTCAGTTGTTTCATTTGCTATTATTTTCAGCCATTCTCAGCATTCTCTTTTCACCTTGTTTATAGTTTCCTTTGCTGTGCAAAACCTTTTAACTGGGTCCCACTTGCTTATTTTTGTTTTTATTTTTATTATTCTAGGATGTTGGATATAGAGGAAATCGCTATTATTTATGTGATAGAGTGTTCTGCCTGTTTTCCTCTAGAGTTTGATAGTTTCTGATCTTACATTAAGGCCTTTAATCCATTTTGATTTTATCTTTGTGTGTAGTGTTAGTAAGTGTTCTAATTTCATTCTTTTACACATAGCTGTTCTGTTTTCCAGCATCATGTATTGAAGAGGCTATCTTTGCCCATTGTATATTTTTTCCTCCTTTTGTCAAAACAGTCTTAATCATAAATGGGTGCTGAATTTTGTCAAAGACTTTTTCTGCATCTATTGAGATTATCATATGGTTTTTATCTGTCAATTTTTTAACATGGTGTATCACATTGATCAATGTGTGTATATTGAAGAATCCTTACATCCCTGAAATAAAACCAACTTGATCATGGTGTATGAGCTTTTTGTTGTGTTGCTGAACTCTGTTGAATTTTGTTGAGGATTTTTGCACCTATGTTCATCAGTGATATTGGCCTGTAGTTTTCTTTTTTTGTGTGTTATCTTTGTCTGGTTTTGGTATCAGGTTGATGGTGGCCTTGTAGAATGAGTTTGGAAGTGTTCCTTCCTCTGAAAAATTTTTGAAAGAGTTTTAGAAGGATAGACATTAGCTCTTCTCTAAATGTTTGATAGACTTCTCCTGTAAAGCCATCTGGTCCTAGGCTTTTGTTTTTTGGGGAGATTTTTGATCACAGCTTCAATTTCAGTGCTTATAATTGGGTTGTTCATAATTTCTATTTCTTCCTGGTTCAGTCTTGGAAGATTGAGCTTTTCTAAGAATCTGTCAATTTCTTCCATTTATTCCATTTTATTGCCATTTAGTTGTTCATAATATTCTCTTTTAATCCTTTGTATTTCTGCATTGTCTGTTGTAACTTCTCCTTTTTCATTTCTAATTTTTTTTATTTGATTCTTCTCTCTTTATTTTCTTGATGTATCTGGCTAAATGTCAATTTTGTTTATCTTCTCAAAGAATGAGATTTTAGTTTTATTTATCTTTACTATTATTTCTTTCATTTATTTTACATTTATTTCCTGTTTGTATCTTTATGATTTCTTTCTGTGTACTAACTTTGGAGGTTTTTGGTTCTTGCTTTACCAGTTGTTTTAGGTGTAAAGTTAGGTTGTCTATTCGATGTTTTTGTTGTTTCTTGAGGCAAGATTATATTGCTATAAACTTCCCTCATAGAACTGCTTTTGCTGCATCCCATAATTTTTGAGTTGTCATGTTTTCATTGTCATTTGTTTCTAGAAATTTTTTGATTTCCCTGTTGATTTCTTCAGTAACCTGTTGATTATTTAGAAACGTGTTGCTTAATCACCATGTGTTTGTGTTTCTTACAGTTTTTTTTTTAATTGTAATTTGTATCTATTCTCATAGCATTGTGGTCTAGAAGATGCTTGATATAGTTTCAATTTTCTTAAATTTATTGCAGTTTGATTTGTGAACCAAGATATGGTGTATCCTGGAGAGTGTTCCATGTGAACTTGAGAAGAAGGTGTATTCTTCTGCATTTGGATGGAATGTCCTGAAGATATTAATGAGATCCATCTCACCTAATGTATCATTTAAGACTTGTGTTTCCTTATTAATTTTCTGTTTTGATGATCTGTCCATTGGTGTGATTGGGGTGTAAAGTCTCCTACTATTATTGTGTTACTGTCAATTTCTCCTTTTATGTCTGTTAGTGTTTTTTTATGTATTGAGGTGCTCCTATGATGGGTGCATAGATATTTAGAGTTATTACTTAGATTGATCCTTTGATCATTATGTAGTGTCCTTCCTTATCTCTTATAATCTTCTTTATTTTAAAGTCTATTTTGTCTGATATGAGGATTGCTACTCCAGCTTTCTTTTGCTTCCCATTTGCATGGAATATATTTTTCTATCCTCTCACTTTTAGTTTATATGTGTCTTGAGGTCTAAAGTAGGTTTCTTGTAGACAGCATCTATGTGGGTCTTGTTTTTGTATTCACTCATCCAGTCTGTGTCTTTTGGTTGGAGCATTTAATCCATTTACATTTGAAGTAATTATTGATATATATATGTTCCTATTGTCCTTTTCTTAATTGTTTGGGGTTAATTTTGTAGATCCTTCTCCTGCATTTCTGACTATGTAAGTCCCTTTAACATTTGTTGTAAAGCTGGTTTGGTGGTACTGAATTCTTTTAACTTTTGCTTGTCTGAAAAGCTTTTTATTTCTCCATCAATTTTGAATGAGATCCTGGCAGCGTACAGTAATCTTGGTTGTACATTTTCCCCTTTCAGTACTTTATATACATCCTGCCATTCCCTTCTGGCCTGCAGAGTTTCTGCTGAAAGACCACCTGTTAAACATATCGGGTTTCCCTTGTATGTTACTTGTTGCTTCTCCCTTGCTGCCTTTAATGTTCTTTCTTTGTGTTTAGTCTTTGTTGGTTTGATTAGTATGAGTCTTGGCATGTTTCCCCTTGGGTTTATCCTGCATGGAACTCTTCGTGCCTCTTGGACTTGATTGACTATTTCCTTTTCCATGTTGGGGAAATTTTCAACTATAATCTCTTCAAAATTTTTCTCATACCCTTTCTTTTTATCTTCTTCTTCAGCAACCCTTATAATTTGAATGTAGGTGCATTTGATATTGTCCCAGAGATCTCTGAGACTATCCTCAGTTCTTTTCATTCTTTTTTTATTTTATTCTGCTCTTCAGTAATTATTTCCATGATTTTCTCTTCCAGCTCACTGATTTGTTCTTCTGCCTCAGGTATTCTGCTATTGATTCCTTCTAGAGTAGTTTTAATTTCAGTAATTGTGTTGTTTCTGTCTGTATGTTTATTCTTTAATTCTTCTAGGTCTTTGTTAATTGATTCTTGCATTTTCTTCATTTTGTTTTCAAGGTTGTTTTTTGATCATCTTTAGTACCATTATTCTGAATACTTTTTCAGGTAGTTTGCCTATTTTCTCTTTATTTAT